AACTTACCTGATTGAACAAAAATATTCATGACTGGTGCTGCACCATATGATTTAACTTTTGTACTATCAATATAATCTTCTATATACATTGGATTATTTGTACCATTGATTTGTTCCATTCCATGATCAGATATAACAATTAAATGAAGATTTTGACGTAAATTTTCATTTGTATCAATTTTATCTAATAAATAACCTAAATGTTCATCGCATTCACGAACAATATTTGTCATATTTATTGAATAAGGTCCAGTTCGATGACCTGAATATCATATATGAATAAAATATTTGACAAAAAACAAAGAACAAACTAACCAGTTAAATCAGGTTCAAAAAAATACATAGCACCAAAATTAATTGGTTCAATTGGATCATTAAACCAATTTATCATTTGATCAATCATATTACGAAATAAATTTTTTCGACTAAATGGTTGATATTTTGATAAATAAATTGGATTCTGTGGCCAACCAACAACACCAGATCGAGCACCTTTTCGTCGTTCATTAATTGACCATATTGATGGATATGGCCACCAATTACTATCTGTCATGTTTTCTGATGGTTCAAATGTAACATTCATTTTCCGATCAAACATTTGATTGCCTATTAAACCATGAATTTCTTCATAAAGACCAGTTATTATACTAAATGATAACAACAATAAAAACAAAATTTCATATCTTTTTATCATAATTTATTGAATTTCTCAAGCAAGTTAGGCCTAATATATTGTAGAATTCAAAAAAAAAAAGTTTAGGATTAACAAAAAAAAAGTATTTAGCAGAATGAATCTTATTAGATATTATAATCTTAAATAATATGTCTTCATTTTGCAGTTGTTGGGTAATCAATACATATATTCAAAACAATATAAAATGACTGTTAGTATTAACGAACAAACAGTACACAACGCTGGCTACATACCTTGCCCATGTGAGATTTGTAGTCTAGAAAAGATTAATAATAAACCAAAAATTCTTTACTATAATGATTATACTAAAATAATTAAATTTTCTTCTCAAAAAAAAAAAAAAAAAATTACTATCAGATTGTTGACTATAGATGAATAGCCAATCTCATGTGAAATTTTGTTTAATTAATTTTTATCAATAATTAATTTAAAAAAACAACATACGTATAATGATTAGGAAATGTTGCTGTTGTAAAAGTTGGTATCATTTTTTCTGCATGAACACCACGTTCTTCTAATCGACGAAAATTTTTTAAAGGTCCATGAAGTTTTGGATAATCATGACGAAAACCATCGAACGAAACAAGCAGTAATAATGGCAAAGAATGAGCAATTATTAAAGATATATGATATAAAATTAAAATTCCTATGACGCACCACATTTCAGATCCAAATAGTTTTTTGGAGAAATATATTTCATTAAGATTATCAATCATATTTAATATAGATGTCAGTAGATTTTCTTTATTGTTTTTTTTTCTTTATTCTATTTCACACATTTATTTTAATATTAATTAAATTTTTTATAACAAAAAAACGTTTTTTTTTCTAATAAAATAAATAATTTTTGTTTGTATTCTTATTCGTTATACCTATCCTCTTTGTTTATCTGTTGATTTTTTTTTCTCTTGCTTTTACATTTCAACATATTAATTCGTTCATTCATTTACTATCAATTCTTTTCAAGAAAAAAAAAAATGAGTAATGCTGATGTTGAAGTTGAAGTTCAAGATGAAGATGAAACAATGGATAATCCTAATGATATTATAGTTGGTGATCATGATGAAGATGATGCTATTAATCAAGTTAAATCAAATGCACGTCATCGAAAAGGTCGTGGTTTTAATGAACAAAGTGATCGTTTAGCAATGCAAACAGGTGATTATGATACAATAACAAATGATAGTGATAGTGGAAATCCTGGTCCAGCAAGATCTGTTGAAGGATGGATTTTATTTATAACAAATGTACATGAAGAAGCACAAGAAGATAATATGTTTGATTTATTTCGTGATTATGGTAATATAAAAAATATGCATTTAAATTTGGATCGAAGAACTGGTTATGCTAAAGGATATGCACTTGTAGAATATGAAACATTTAAAGAAGCAAAAGAAGCTTTAGAAGGTATTAATGGACAAGATTTACTTGGTCATACACTTCATGTTGATTGGGCTTTTGTTAAAGGACCACTTAAAAAACGTGGAACAGGTAATAGTAGTTCACGTAAAGCAACAACTGGTACTGGACGAACGACTTATCAACGACGTTAGTTAAATGACAAAGAAAAAAAAACCGTTTTTCGTGAAAATTTTGTTGTTTGTTCTTGTTGTTTGTCACTATTTGTTTTTGTTGGAAAATTTGAACTAAACAAAAATAAGAAAATATTGTTCTTTTCATTTTTACTTTTTTTTCCTCTTTTGCTGATGATAAATCAAGATGACTAACTTCGATATTTAACAGGGAACACAATGGACTTCTTTTTCTATAATTGAAAATTCGAGTGATAGATTGAAATTTCTATTCATTCTTTATAGATTAACAAGTACTATTATTTATTTCCCATAAAAAAAAATTTTTTCATGGCTGTACGTACACAATTTGAAAGTAGTAATGATATAGGTGTTTTTGCTCGTTTAACAAATGCTTATTGTCTTGTTGGCATTGGTGGTTCAGAAAATTTCTATTCAACATTTGAAAGTGAACTTAGTGATCATATTCCTGTTATTCATTCATCAGTTGGTAAATAAAAAATAAAAAAATTTTTTTTTTTCTTCTTCCACATATTATTTGTTAATTTTTTAGGTGATTGTCGTATTGTTGGTCGTTTAACAGTTGGTAATCGTCATGGTCTACTTGTACCATCATCAACAACTGATCAAGAATTACAACATATTCGTAATTCTTTACCAGATAATGTACGTTTAAGACGTTGTGAAGAACGTTTATCTGCATTAGGAAATGTTATTGCATGTAACGATTATGTTGCATTAATACATCCTGATTTAGATAAAGAAACTGAACAAATTTTAACTGATACACTTAATGTTGAATGTTTTCGACAGACAATAGCTGATCGTGTACTTGTTGGAAGTTATTCAATGTTTACAAATCAAGGTGGTCTTGTACATCCAAAAACATCTATACAAGAACAAGAAGAATTATCATCATTATTACAAGTACCACTTGTTGCTGGAACAATTAATCGTGGTAGTGATGTTATTGGTGCTGGACTTTTAGTTAATGATTGGATTGGTTTTTGTGGATTAGATACAACAGCACATGAAATAAGTGTTATTGAAAGTGTATTTAAATTAGGACAACATAATTTAAGTGGTTCTACAACAACAACAAGCAATAAAACAATAAAAGATGCACTTCTTGATGCGCTTACTTAAATAAATCTTTTTTTTTTTTTTTTGTTTTTACTGAAAAGATTAAATAAATATCATCATCAAATATCAATTTCTTTTCAGATTATATATATATATATAAATAAGAGTGGCGAAAACATCACGATTTTTACTTGAATGTAGTAAAATTGGTCGATGGTTATTATTATTTTATAGTCATGGACTATTTTATATACTTTCAACAATAACATCACTTAATCCTTATATTTATTTATTTTTAACATGGATTTTTATTCAATATCAATTAGCAATTTTTCTTCTTACGGCTGTTCTACCAAATTTATTAATAACAAATAATAAATGTCCTATATGTTCATTACATTTTTCTGATCGATTTCATCATTGTTTTTTTGTTAATCGTTGTATTGCTATATGTAATGTACATTGTTTTCTTTCATTTACATTTTATGCAACAATATCAACATTAATATGTTTTTTTATATTTCTTAATGAATTTTTTTATATAAAACCTATAAGTTTTTATTGTCTTTTACCATTTGGAGAATTTTTATGTCAAAATTTAACATGGAAACAAAGTGGTTTAATTATGCTTACACGATCAACAATAATAGCAGCTGGAAGTGCTAGTGGTATGGGTTTTTATGTAGCTAAAGAACTTTATTATGATAAAACAGATAAAACACGATCAATATGGCGTGAAATATTTAAAATTTTATTACCAGCTTTGAGTATTATTCGGCGTGTTTAAAAAAGAATAAATTGTGTTTGTTTTCTAATTATTTTCAAAAAAAAAAAAAAAAAAACTAAAAAAAATATTATGTGATACAATGTACATGTTTGTTTTCGTATAAAAAAACTATAAACGACTTTGAATATAAGAAGGAGATGAGAGATAGTTCTAGAAGAGAAATAAGTATGTTTGTAGGTTCATATTTAGAAAAAAAAAAATTACCACAAAGAAGACTTTCTAATTTCTATGAATATTTCATCTTTTTGTAGAATCGAAATAATGATACATATCTATGAAATACTAGTTTTGTGACATACTTTTTTTTTGATAGAATTGCTCTACATCTTTCTTTCATAATATCGAATAAATAATATGCGTTGTTGTTTTTTCACACTTCAAACTTTAGACTAAATTATTCGAGAATCGTCCTATTGAGTGACATTATATCACCTGTACATCATCAGACGTAATTTCCCATATTTATAAAAAGAAACAAATAAATCATCCATGTCTGAGAAAACATATACCTATTCGTCGTTACTCTAATACAATATATACGCTCACGTAGGCGTGCATGACTAAATTATCTAATGATTATCATGATTGTATATATGCAAAAGTCGACTTGTCGTTTACATTTATTATGCACATTTTTCTTCTTTTGAAGGACGTATTTTAGTCTTGATTGGGCGAGTTTTGTTTACAAAAGATACGCATATTATACATTTTATTGTAGACTAAATTTACATGTGAGTGTAATAAAAAACAACAAACATCAACACTTGTCATTCTGTCTATACTTTTTTTTTTCTTTTCTTTTTTTTTTTTTTTGGAGTATTATAAAAACAGAAAAGCAATCGATGAAATACAAGCAGAGAGCGTATAAACATTTACTAGTTGTGTCTTACTTCTTTCTTTTTTAATGTCACCCACAGCAACAGAACATTGTCGTAAACGACGTAATAGCCTTGAACTTTTACAATATGCAAAACGTTTTCAAGAAAAATATATTCTTCATCAATTTTGGATAGATTTAACAATGAGTAGAAAAATTCGAGAAATATCAGAAGTACCTGATGTTGATATTGGTGAAGCTGGTTGTTTTAAATATATATTAATTGAAGTTCGTGATTGTGAAAAAAATTATGGTAAATCAAAATTTGTTGTTCGTGGTGATGCTGCATGTGCTTATCATGGTAAAAAAAAACAACAAAATATAAAATTTAATTAGAAGAATTATTTCTTTTATTGTAGCTGATGTTCTCGATATAATGGAAAGTCAAATTGATTCAACAAAATTAGTATTAGATTGTAAAGGTGGTGGTCGTATTCGTGTTGATCCAAAAATACGAACAATATCAGTTTATGGTTATTCAATGGTAAGTTCTGTTGAATTTTAATTAAAAAACATATTTTGAAAAAAAAAAAAAACATTTTTTTTAGGGTTTTGGTCGAGCTGATCATGAAAAAACGGTCGAAATTTTAAAGAAAAAATATCCAGAATGGACTATCGAAATTACAGGTAAATAAATAAAACACAAAAAAAAAAAATTATCATGAATATTTTTCTTTTTTATTATTCTAGACGAAGAATATTAGAATTCAATTATGAAATAAAATAAATTAGAATGATCAAACTTGCTTCAGTGAGTTTTCTCACATCTATGTGCTTGTATATAAATACATAAAAAACACATTCTACTACTATTATTCTATGTGAAATAAAATAAATTGATAAATAAAAGAAAAAATATGTCTTCTTTTTTTTTTTTTTTTGTTGCTGAACATTACTTGTCAATATATATACATTTATTTATGTTATATGCATACTAATCATACTCAAGGTTGGATAGACCGACGATGTTTCGACTGCCTTGACCTCCAATACATATTTATAATATACATATATGTATGTGTGTATCCAAGTGCATACTTCTTGAAGACAAGGTAGTCATTGATGAGAAAAAAAGATGGTATATAAATGAGATAAGATTTAATAGTATATACATAATAAATAAAAAAAAAGAAAGATTCGACATCCATTTAGTTAACAAGAAGAAAAAGTGTAAGGTAAGATGAAGAAATAAAAAAGTATGGTAGTAGTATTTTTTGTTTTTTTATGCATTATTATTTTTATTGGGGGAGATTTAACCTCGAGTTCATATTACCTGCTATTTACCTTAACAACATACTTGAAGAAGAAATGAAATAAATAAAAAAACAGCCAGTATATATTTCTGTTCTTCAATTCGATTCTTGTTAGTTACGATACTGTTACTATTAAAGACATGTTTCTATAGATTGTTCTTGTCCTTGTTAGACGACACTTAGAGTTTTTTTTTTATTGATTATCTAACTTTCCTTTTATCGTTTGTTGATTCCGTTTGTCTCGACTAATATTCTCAGACACACCAAGGAAAACTCTCGCCTTTCTTTTTTCTTTCTTTAGCTTGCGAAGACTTGCGTTTACAGTATGACCTTGTGTATATGATACCACAGGGATAGAGACGGCGGCGGGAGAACGGCGACAGCTGCAAGGTTATTCTTTACACTGAATCGAACTGTTGACTGACTCAGAGGAACTTGATGGTTACTATGTGTTTGATTATGAATCCTTATTGAACTCGTGTACACACACTCATATATATATATATACATGATCGAAAGTTTTGATTAATATGATTTGGTGTACTTTTTTTTTTCCTTGTGTCTCGTCGATTGTCAAGGTCGTTCAAGAGAGTAATTATAAGAGTATGTTGATCGAAAGAGAAGAGAAAAAAAATGAAAAAGCGAACGAGAAAAAAAAAAAAAAGAAGAGCTAAAGTAATAAAAGTCAGTATGTATAATGTGTGTTTGTGCATTCGAGCATTATTTACGATTCACTCGTCTTTCTCGTAATTTGATCAGACCGTTGTCGTATAAAGAATTATACAAGTTTTACACAGTATTCTTCGAATCGAGTGTTTCTAAACTATATTTTAGACTTTCGCTTATAAGTATCATTTGATCATTAGGCATCAATCAGGAAAGAGCTAACAACGACATGTTCCAGATTGCTTTGTATTATGTAATTTCTTTCGTTTATTAGTGATCGGATAATTAAATAAGAGAAAGAGCAGAAGTTCGATAGATTTTTTCATCTCGTTCATTTGTTTTTCTGTTCTATTATTCTGATAATTATCAATCTATAACGATAGCAAATTTTTTCAAGAGAGCAAAAGAAGAAAAAAAAAAAAGAAAGACTACAGCCTTCTCTAATTGCTACCAACGGAGCTTTTCGCAGTACTATCAGAAAAAGAAGACGACAACAAAAAAAAAACACAAAAAGAAAAGAGGAAGAAAAGAAACCTAGTTGTCGTTCTTCGTTTCTTCTTTTCTCGGTGTCTGTGAATGTCAATATTCCAGAATATTTTCAGGATGCCGTCGCCACCGCCGCCGGTTCCTGCACCCCGGAGTTTATCTGTCTCGTCACTCATATTCAAATGTACAGATAATGAAAAGAAAAATTTCAAGGATGATATTGTTACATTTAATATTGGCGGTCATATTTATTCAACAACATATTCAACAATCAATGAAAATGTTGATTCTCAATCATTATTAGCTTTAATAATATCAAATCGAACAACAACTTCATTAGATAAAAATGGTCATTATTTTATTGATCGTGATGGTACATATTTTCGTTATATATTAAATTATTTTCGTGATAAAAAATTATTTTTACCTGAAAATTTTACTGAACTAAAACAACTTTGTTCAGAAGCAAAATTTTATCAAATTGATCGACTTGTAAATGAAATAGAAAATCGTTTAAATACATCAAATGAACAAAATAAACAATTACAAATTGGTTTGAATTTTACATTAATATCAAATTTAAATCAAGGTGGAAAAATTTTAACATTAATTGGTCCATTAAAATTAATTTATTTATTTCATATTGAACCAATTGGAAGACAATTTTTAAAAACAATATCAAATTTTAATGATCCAACTAATATATCATGTCAATGTACATTTCCAGTTGATGATAAACTTATATCATGTCAACCATTTGATCAATTACAACGTATTGTACTTGCTAAACAAGCACGAAAAATGGGCATGGCTGTTAGTTATTGTGATGATTATTTTTATATACCTATTGAACGTCAAATTATGTTAAGAGATGAATTAGCACAATTATTATTAAATAAATATAATGGAAAATTATTACATACAAATATAACATATGAAAAAAAATCTAATACAGATCATGATGGTTCATATACTCTAGTCGAAAATTGGTTTATACCAAATATATCCATTATAAAATGTTTAGAAACAAATGGAATAATGAATCAAGATGGAAATATTTATTCAAATACAAGCATGACAGATTGATTTTAAATTATTATTAGTATTATAATTATAATTATTTTTTTTTTGCTCTTTTTGGTTTGCTATATGGTGAATTTGACAATCGTTTCTTCTTTTTCTTCTTCTTTTTCTTTTTTTTTTCTTTTTTGCAAAATCGAGTGTGTGCATGTTTGAAAATAATCAGATAGAATCAAAAGTATACTAAATGATTTTTGTTAGAGTATAGCAAAGATTCAAATAGAATATCGTTTTATTGATGAACGATTATGGAACAGTTGATGATGTACAGTGAGTTCTTTTTAAATAAATTCAGATACGCAAAAAAAAAAACATTTTGCACAAATTATAGATATTTTCGAAATCTATCAATTAATTTTCTAATATGTATGAAATTGGTGAATTTTGATGTTGATATTTATTTATAATTGTATATACCGGTGAATATTATTCAGTAGTTTATATTTTAAAAAGTAGAATTATTGTATAATTATCGCATATGCTTCATAGGATAATTTATAAATGCAAGAATACTTAAATTATATCAAAGAAGGAAGCAAAATATATGTAATGTTGCAGAAAATTGTTGAGTTTTAATTCATTTAGAAAACTTGGTTTTTGTTTTTTCATAGTTATATGTTTTTCACAGACTGTAGTATAATATTATTATGTTTATTAAATTTATACAACTCTGTAAGAAGATGTGAAATTTTTTTTTTTTTTTTCTTTATTTATCTATGGCAACATATTTTGATTTGCGGTTCGTTGACAGATAAGTGACAGGTCTTGATCAAATAACTGAATTAATATAAACTAACCAATGCTTGAATAAGAACGAGGTCGTTAGTACCTTTTATATGAATTAAGGTCAAGACATATTTCATTTTATTTTTTCCGAATGATGAAACTGAACTACACGAGTTTACTAGAGTAGATCTATAGAAAATTTAGAGCTAAGAAAAAAAACAGTTGTCAAATAACGAATTGATCTAATCTTTGAAAAAACATTGAACTTTTCAGTAGTTGACCTAACCTTTTGCTTTCATTTCATATAACTACTAACTGTCATACATTTATTCATTAATGGCAATTTATTTTGTTAGTTGACATTGCCATTCAAAAATTGAGTACATATGAATTGGCACCAGATTTCTTTAATTGCAATTGATTTATATATAAATTCAGTATTTATATCTTAATATGACATTTTCTTGAAAAAAAAAAATATGCAACTGTTCACATCGTTTATATTAAAATGATTTTTTCATTAAATTCTATTATATAATTATAAGATTGTCAAATGATTTTATTTAATGATACACCTTAATGATCAATGAATGCATTTTATTTACAAATCAAAAAATAAGTTTGTTAAGCTTAAAAAAAATAACGGGAGTATGTTTTTTCATTGCGTGACTATATAATATTTCTAAGAATTTGATTAAATTTCTCTATTAATTGACTATTAATAGTAGAATTCTATAACTCAATCTTATTTTTCAAAGAAAAAAAAAGAAGAGAAAATACTAATCAAGCATAATAAAATATAGCCAGGGACGAGTAAGAAAGGCCAATGGTAGAAGCAATATAATTTTGAAAGCAAACACACACACACACACACACACACACACATAAAATTTTTAAAAACAAAAAGAAATAGATGATTTCAAAATTTTAAAATTCTAATTTTTATTTTTCTTCAATAATTAAATGCAATCTTTGCATAAAATTAAATTTCCATCTTGATAAAAACTTTCTTCAGCAATACATTTCTAAAAAATAAAAATAAAAATAAAAGACACAAAAAAAAAATTTTCTTTTTTCTACCTGACATTTTGAACATGTAAAACATTCTTTATGCCAATATTTATCTTCAAATTCAAGATATTCAACATCAGCAATAATAGCTTTCTGACAAAGACTACATCGTTTTGCATGTTGATCTTCATAACATTTAGCACAACATGGTTGACCATCAACCATTGAAATTTTTGAATGAGCCGATATTGGTTGTTTACATGTTACACCTAGAATTTTATCATAAATTAATTCGAAATATTCATTGAAAAACAAAAAAGAATAGAAACTTCGTTTATTTATTATATATTCGATTTTGATTTGGATGGATACAATCCATTGTTGATCAAAAAAAATTTAACCTTCGAATTTTTATATGTCAGTTATAGACAAAGCCTAATGAGATATAGACAAAATATGCCTTGATAATCAATTACAGAGGA